GGTGTCTAATTTCCGCCCTGACACAGGCGGGCGGAGGTGATCTCTTATTTAGGTTCTCTAGTTCAGTTCAGTCCTGCTACGGGGAGGGCGGGGCGCTGCAGACAGATACCGCTCTGTGTGGATAGCGCTCACCGTGTTCCGGCCACACTGGGTTTGCACCGCTCAAGGGTGTCTGTGCTTTCGCCGTCTACACTGCTCAGGCTCCCGGCTGCTCTATATGGAGCGGGCCCTGCGTTGAGTGCGGTTCCAGTTTTCGGGTACTCCACAAAAGCGCGGATTCGGTTGTGCCTGCGTTTTGTGCCTTCCCGGCCTGAGCGGTTCAGGCAGCCAGAGGCTTGGCGCACTCTCCCCGGGTGCGGCGCGCCTTTTCCCTCCGCGGCGAGAGGCTCAGGCAGCCAGAGGCTTGGGCACACTCTCCCCGGATGCAGCGCGCCTTTTCCCTCCGCGGCGAGCGGCCCAAGCAGCCAGAGTCTTGGGCGCAATCCCAAAGGGAATTTCAAATAAAGAATTTTTCCAACTTCTCTATTCCCTGTAGCCGCGGCGAGAGGCTCAGGCAGCCAGAGGCTTGGGCACACTCTCCCCGGATGCAGCGCGCCTTTTCCCTCCGCGGCGAGCGGCCCAAGCAGCCAGAGTCTTGGGCGCAATCCCAAAGGGAATTTCAAATAAAGAATTTTTCCAACTTCTCTATTCCCTGTAGCCACCACCCTGTTATCTCTGAAGCAGACAATACCACAATGGACTTGACTCTCCACTTAAACTGCCCCCACTCCGAGCCTACCCTAAACTGCTATGAGGAGCTAGCTGCTTGCTCCTCAAACTTGAGGTTCCCTACTCCTAGAAACTGAAAAGACAATCCTTTCCCCTAGCTTATCATTGGAAGCAGTAAAAGAAGCACATATTTTAAGACAAATCAGCTTGCTATAACAGAAAGCATTGTCACTTTGAAATCATAAAGACCTCTCCTCATCCTTCAGAAGCTATATATATACTGGCCAAGTAATACAACATGAATTAAACTATCAGTTACTTTAACTTAAAAGAAGAGTACTATGGAGTTTATGATTAGCAAGATTATAATTAATGAAGTACCTAGTATGTACTTGCCAAATGGTAATTAACACTCTTTAATATAACCATTATTTTTACTAACAATAATAGCGAATGTTTACTCTAATGCATTGTATTTGACATCTGTTTTACAGGTTACCTCACTTGGATCTTTATTTCTTGCAATTTAGAAGAAAAGATAACTTGAAAATCTGCCTACTCCATAACACCTAGAAAAGCTGGATAAAAAGTATAACAAACATTTTATGTTATATAACAAATATAGGCAGGCTTGAGATTTTAAGAAAGAGAAGAAATCTCCTGAGGTCAAAAAATGAAAAGGAAATTAAAAATCAGGAATTCTCAGAGTGAGCTGATATTGGGATGCTCTGCGAAGGTTTTTTGGTCTAGGCAATCAAAGAGCCTGTTTTTCATAGCTATGGGGGAGGATGGGAGATGAGGCTCTGGGCCCTGGAGAAGTCAACAGCTGAAACTCAAGCTCCCCTGTATAAAGCTGGGAATTTAGAGAAGTCATCCATCAGTTTAAAAAAAAAAGTCTGAAAAGTAGAGAGGAAATTGGAAGCTTAGGTTAAAAAAGAAAGTTTCCTTAAGAACTGAAACCTTGGCCTGTGCGAACTTTGAATGTATTCTACTTATATGGAGTTTATACCATCTGTGCAGTCTTAGAATTCCAGCAGAAAAATAAAAACATAGTTCCAGACTGATGATAATCCTTGGTGATTAGTAGAAACAAAGACAATCCTCCCTCTCTCCCTGCAGAGTACTAATTATCTCATTTAATTCTCACAACTATCCTATGAAATAGTCTTATCCCAATTTACAAGAGAAATTCAAATTTAGGGAGGTTAAGTGATTTGTCCAAAGTCATCTAGTTATTATCTGAAAAAGCTGGGATTTGAACTTGCTTGTTGTTCATTCAGTTGAAACACATTTATCAATATGTTATACTGCTAATCTTTGTGCAAATCAACAGATAAATGCAACTGTTTCTTTCTCAGGTTTAGCAACTCAGTAAGAATGAAGGCAGCCAGGATCACATGAAACCCTAAGGATTCCCCACCCCCGCCCCCGGCTCTGCCTACAAAAGCAGCTCGGTCCACTGTGGCAAAGGACTTAGGTTGCTGGAATATTCTGAACAAGGAAGAGAAAAAGCAACATGCTTCCTGAGCTAGTGGGGCATAGGATACTGCCAAATGGATCCTGGTTACTGATATTAACGGTATTAGAATAAACATACTATAGAAGCCCAAACAGAATATATTTACTATTGGAGTTAAGTAAGGATAATAAAGCTGTTGTGATAAACACAAACATGTGAAATTGAAAATTAATGATGACAGCTTAGTCACATCAGGCTCAATATATTCCTAAATATTATTTGGGTTGCAAAGCATTCAGAAAATTCTGATTCACAAGCATAAATAGCTGCAAATGTGTTAGCACACACTGATCATCTTGTGTGTATGCAGGTTTTATAAAAATAGTTCTAAATATTTTTCAAAAATCATATCAAATATTTGAGGATTTTTGAAGCCCCATACCCCACAATGTCCTAATAGAACAAAAATTGGGAACAACCAGACAAAAAGTTCTCAGAGATCCCTCTATTCTCAATCTAGGAGGCTACACAGCATACACAGTAAAGCGCAAACTTATAAAGAGGAACCAGTACGCTCCACACACCCTCTCTCCCTTCCACGGTGAAATTCTCTAATCTCCCATCTCTGATTCTGCCACCATGACCATTATTACTCTACTTTCTAAGCTCCATTTCCCATTTTCCCCCTTTTCTACTCTTTAGTCCAGCTAATCTCAAGTAGACTGTACCTTGACCATACTTCCTTAGCTCCAGGTGTTCATTCATACCATTATCTTCACCTTGGATTTATTTTCATTATATTTTTTAAGGCTCATAATGTATATGTATTTTCTCATTTACTTCCATTATGATACATCCTGCCCATTCTTAGTTATTTGTAAATAATAACCACTATTAAGTATTTACTTGGTACCACATGCTATATGATGAGTGCCTCACACTGCTCATTTAATCCTGTAGCAGCCCATGAAACATGGTAACACTATTGCTCTCATTTTATAATGAGAACACCTAGGCCCTGGAAGGTTACAAAACTTGCCCAAGGCCAGGTAAGGGAGAGAATCCCCCTTGGAAAAGTAGTGTCTGAGCTCAAAGAGATGTTAAAGGATAGGGTGAAGCTGTCAGGAGACAATGGCATTCCAGACAGAGGGACAACATTCACAAAGGCAGTGCAATAGGAAACAGTGTGGTATGCAATCAGGAAAGAGATCAGCCTTCAGAATCAGCAGACCTGGTTCAAACACCTAATTTTGTTTTGTGACTTCACTGCAACTGTATTTTTCTCATCTGTGAAATGGTGATAATAAGCTGCACCATGTATAATTAAGATAAAAGTTAAACACGATATGTAAAAGTGCCCAGTACATGACTAGGCCTATGCTACTCAGTAATAAATAAATGTTACCTCCCTTCCTTTCCCCTAGTGGCAGTTCAATAATCCATGGTCTTAACATCATTTTTATCTCCACTAAACTCCAGACATGTCTCCCTTCTACAAGTTTCCAAGCTTTACATGGGCTTTTGGAGGTGTCGTATGCCAAAAGTCATTCAGCACCTTATGTGGTAGGGTCCTTAACCACCACTTCTCAAACTCAGAGTCATTCTCACACCACTCACCTGTGTAGGCCATGTTCTTCGGGTTGCCATAAGGAGCCCCAGGCTGCACGGGGCTATAAACAGGGTTCATTGTGGACAAGTGAGAATCCTACAGAAAAACAAACAAAAAACCAGCATCGATTATTGATTGTTCATTCTCCCTGACATCAGCTTCTGATCTATAATCTTCAAGCGACACAGAGAAGCAACGCAGTATAACAGAAGGAGGACTTAAAAAAGCCGATTGTTTGTACTTGGCCCTTTGCCAGAGAGTCTTCCTACTGTACACATGAAGATGCTGAGAGGCAGAGAAGTGACACAATTGGCCTATGTCAGCTCCAGCCTTGTGATTCTCAGTTCAGTACTAGTCCCACTATCCCCTAAATCAGCTACCATGAGCGTACTGTTTGGCACTGGCCAAGTCTCTTCCCCTCTCTGGGCTTCAATGTCCTGACATAAAATCAATTACTTCAGGTTCTCTGCAGTCTTTTCTAATTCTAAGGATGCCTGTCTATGAGCTGGGAAAGGATGCACTTCTACTGCTCACCAGGGGAGCCCCAGCACCTGGTAATAAGCACAGAGACTGCTGGAAGAAGAGCAGCAAGTGTGCTATCCACCCTTTGCACTTACAGAAGACAAGATACTAGTTACTAGCAGTTTTGGGGGAAAATGGGAATTTATTGCCATTGACCATTTTAATGCAAACAAGGAAATACAGCCAAGGTCTCTTTCAAAATTTATTCAAGGGAAAGAAATAAACTTGGAAATTTGTGTGCAATAAGTATCACCTGCACAAGTGCTCTGTTAATTACCTTAATGAAGCACATTCTCCATTTTGATTAATGGAATATTAAGCTCTATTAGCCAGCCAATTTGTCCCACCTTGTTTAGGGAACCAACTCTGACACAGAGCCCAACATATGTTTGAAGACGTGTCTCCAAATATATTATTTACACTTCATAAAAATCAAGCTATTTCCTCCTAACTAGGCTCACATGATAGAAAGGCAATTTTTTAGGTCATTAACTTCTTCCATAGCACCTCAGGATAGGAAACAAGTCAAATGCTGAAGACAAGCTGTTAAAGTCAACAGCTGGCTTGATGACAATTGCTCTGAGATTAATTAGCCTGTCCAGGGTTGTGGAATGAGACGTGGAGGAAAGATGGGTTCCCAAAGAGAGGAAGGTGGGCAAACAGGTAAAAAAGAAAATGCCATTGGTCAAATTCAGATGACAGAACTTTTTGAAATGTACCCAATGTGCAGCCCTGGCAAATCACCCCAGGGCAACAGGCTAGATTAAACTATCACCAGTTGACAAACTGAAACTAGAAAACCTGACGAAAGTTATAAGAAATATACACATTCGGGCACAAATTAAGAAAAAAACATGCTTGCAGCCAGAGTTATCCAAGAATACTGCCAAGAACGTGCCTGTGTGCTGTTGTGTCCGACTCTTTGTGATACAGACTATAGACCACCAGGCTTCTCCGTCCATGGCATTTACCAGGTAAGAATGTTGGAGTGGGTTGCCATTTCCTTCTCCAGGGAATTTTCCCAACCCAGGAATCAAATCCACATCTCCTGCATCAGCAAGCAGATTCTTTACCACTGCACCATCTGGAAAGTCCACAGTCAAGTACATTCTCTCTCTAAATATAAGCACTCTCCTGGCAAGGTGCTAAGAGAGTTCACAGATGTTAAAATACATTGCAAACTACAAAGTGGAATGCAGATGTAAATAATGATAGTAATAGCCTTGGATCTCTCTTCTACCCAACGGGTTCTCTGTTAAATAAGCCAGGGTAAGGAAGACTGCTAAGCAGCACAACGGGTCCTATAAATATCTGAGCACTCTCCTACTGAGAAGCTACTCTGTGTTGCTGATTGGACAAAGTTTGAAATTGTTCTTCATAACCAAAGAAATTCATCAGTTTTGAAACTGGTCTCCTGCTGCTCAAAAACGAGAGCCACGGCCTCAGAAGGAAACCATGCCTGAGTAGCACTCCACAACAGCGTGGACTCCAATCTCAACTAATGACTGGCAGAAATGAGACCTGCCAGGGGTTCAAAATGTGGAATAAGAATATGACAGGCAGACAGAGTTCCTGGCTTTCAAGGGAAGGTCAGCCTTTTACAACAGAATCCACACACTAGTAGTTTCAGGGACAGGCTAAAAATGAGTAGGAAGATCACAAGCTCTATTATCAGGCAGATTTAGGTTCAAATTCTGGAACTGCCACATACCAAATGTGGGACCACAGGCAAGTCCACTAACTTTCCTGCGCCTCAGTTCCCTCTAGACTCAAAATGGGAAAGAATAACACATACTTAACAGAGTTGTTGTAGGTATTTTTTTAAAGCTAGGTTTATTGAGGTACAATTTACATGTAGTAAAATTTACTCCTTTTAGGTATATAGTTCTATGAGCTCTGAAAAACGTATATAGTTGTACAAACACTACCACAATTAGGATACAAAGTATTTTCACCATCCCCAAAAGTTCTCTATCTTTGGGGTCAATACCCTCCCCATAAATCCTAACTGTGGCACTCTAATCTGTTTTCTGTTGTTGTTTTGTATACTCAAATACCAACTTTTACTGTAAGAAGATGAAAAAAATGAGGCTGAGAAATAGGAAATGAACAGTCCGAGGTCACAAAGTAAGTAAAGGACCAGGTTAGACTAACTAGCACCCCAAATCAAAGACCTAAATGAGACCACTAAAAAGATAAAACTCTTAGAAGAAAAAAGAAAAGATAGCAAAATCTTTATGACCTTGGATTTGGCAGTGGTGTCTTTATTATGATACTAATAGCCCCTGAGAGATCCCACCATAGGATTCAAATTCAAATCTACCTACTGGGTCCTTGCTGGACACACATAGGCAGTTAGGAGAAAATAAAGGCACTGACTGCCTGACTTCTATTCCTGCCAGCTATACAGGATATTAGCTGCCACATGCTATCAATCCAACCTGATTTCACTTTTTAAGTAAGATAAGTAGGATAAGTGCCTGAGGTGTAAGTCCCATATAGCTCTCTCTCTAGAGCTGAGTATGGAGTTGCCCCTGCTCCCCGGGGTTGAACCACAGTAAGTCTACATTACTTGTGTCAGCAAACACAACTCTGCAATAGCTTCCCATCTTATTCAGGATAAAATCCAAAGTCCTTACATGCTTCAGTCATGCCCAACTCTGCAACCCTATGGACTGTAGCCCACCAGGCTCCTCTGTCCATGTGATTCTCCATGCAAGAATACTGGAGTGGGTTGCCATGCCCCTCCTCCAGAATATCCAATTGGGATCCTCCCTACCCAGGGATCCACCCAGGGATCCTTCCCATGTCTCTTACGTCTCCTGCATTGGCAGGCAGGTTCTTTACCACTAGCACCACCTGGAAGCCCCTGTAAGGTCTGCGAGGCCTTATATGATCTGGGTTCACATGCCCCGCACTCTGGTTGCAACTCCTACTACTACCTCTTGATTTCTACACTCCAATCACAATGACATTCTTGCTCATATATATGAGCACATATATGCACACATATGCATATGAGCACACACATATATGCTTATGCCTCAGGGCCTTTGCACTTGCTCTTTCTCACACCTAAAATGACCTTCCCCATATATTCAAATGACATACTCCCTCACTTCATTCAGATCTCTGCACGAATGTCACCTTGTCCAAAGTTAATTCCTTAGCCAACCTATCTAAAAATAACTCCTACTGTTATTCTCTGTCCCCAATTTCTGTTTTACTTTTCCTACCGACCCCAATCATTACCCGATATCCTTTCTTGTCTATCTGTTTATTCTTTCCCTCATTAGAGTTGTAAGTTCCATAAGGACAAGGATTCTGTTTATTTTTTTCTTGTATCCCCAATACCCAAAATATTACCTAGTATATAATGGTTACTAAATGCATAGTAGTTGAATACATAATGGACCATCCTTCATGCCTCCTTCAAAAAACAACTCTGGAATAGTTTCAAGGTGTTTGGCACTTTTTGGCATATTTCAGTCAACAACTTGGCTTCACATCTCTCCAGCATTTACTTCCAATATTCAGAGAAGCCTCTACTGATAACTCATCTTGGGTAGTACAAGCAATGGTGAGCTGGGTGGCAGAATGATGACTAACAAAAACAGACAGAGGTGCTAAAGACTTCCCTCCTCGTGGAGCTGGACTTCATCCCCAGACTGTTTGACAAATAGCCTGCTGCTGCTGCCCTCAAAAATACCTGAACAATCTCTTTCAAATCAATAGAAAAATCTACGAGCACAAAATGACAAGAAAAATTTCAGGCGTGAAGAGTGAACACTTACAAGTACCATATGCACAATAGGTTGCAGTGTTTAGTAGTTTACAAACTACCTATATGAGGTTTTAAAGCTTATACAGAGTCCCCAAATTATGAGAGTTCGGATAAGATTTTTCAACTTTACAATGGTACCAAAGTAATATGCATTCAGTAGGAACATCCTCTGAATTCTGAATTTTACTTCTCCTGGGCTAGTGTATGCAGCACAAACCTCTCTCATGATATTTGGCAGCAACAGCAATACGCTACAGCTCCCAGTCAGTCAATGGTAAACAACCAATTTACATGTGCAACCATTCTGTATCCATATAACCATTCTGTTTTTCACTTAAAATATAGTATTTAATAAATTATATGAGATATTCAACATCACAAAATAGTTTTGTGTTAGATGATTTTGCTCAACTGTAGGCTATTGTGTTCTGAGCATGTTTAAAGTGGGCTAGGCTAACCCACGATGTTTGGTAGGTTAGGTGCATTAAACGCATTTTCAACTTAAAATGGGTTTATTGGGATGTAACCTCATTGTAAGTTAAGGAAGATCTAGTTTACAATGAGATTTTAATCACTATCTCACTTGATCCTTTGAAGTAAGCAACACAAGGATTATTAATTTCATTTGACAGAAAAAGAAATTAAAGCTTACAGGTTTAATGTATATTAGGATAGATACTGTTAAAAAAAAAAATAGATATAGTGTCTGTCCAAAGGAGGCTATGATCTAGTTAGGGAATTTTATAAGTTAAGTAAAAATAAACATGCCAAAAGTAATGGAACTTTTAAG